AATGTTTATCTCTCTATTTTCGAAAATAATTCTACGGATGCAACATCTCGATTATTACAAGATTTTAAAAAACATGTAAAGTGTATGCATACAATTGTAACAACTAAATTAATATTTAATGATGATCAAAAAGCGTCCATGTACATAAAAGATACAACTCATAAACGTCTATCTCGTATTGCTTATCTTGCCATGATTCGTAATCATGCTTTGGAACCTATCTTACACAATAAAATTCATATGTCTACGAATGGAAGTCGACGCTTTTTAAAAGTTCTTTTTCTCAATGACATTGCATTTTCTAGTCAAGATGCAATTCGTTTACTTCAAACAAATCACGGTGATTATTCAGCTGCTTGTGCACTCGATTTCATCAATCCTATTAAATTCTATGATACATTTGCAACTCGTGATACTGATGGATATTCTATGGGTTTGCCATTATATCCATTTTTTGCTCCTGGACAAAGTCAATCACAAATAAGACAAGGACATGATCTCGTTCATGTCAAAAGTTGTTGGTCTGGTATGGTGGCATTCGATAGTGCACCTTTCGAAAATGGTTTAAAATTTCGTTCTTTAAGTAATGAATCTACTTATGACGCTTCAGAATGTTGTCTTATTCATGCAGATATAAATCAGCCAAATAGGACTTTTATCAATACCAAAATTCGTGTGGCTTACTCTAATATTGTCTATGTATGGCAAAAACGATTAGCTTATTTTGAAACTATATGGATTCCTATACAGAAATTTATCACATACGTAGCTGGTCTACCACGATACAATAAATATAGAACATCGGGTAATGGTGGTTTCTGCTGGATATCAGGGAAGAAGCTGCTCAAAGATTATCACTAGTAATATTGCAACGTGAGTGTATATAACTTACATACTCTGTTTCATCTTTTCTTTTGATTCAAACGATAGATAAGAAGACACTTTTGCTTATTCGCGTTATCTATGAGGAGTCATCCAACATCATAAACTTTTGTTTTTTTCTTCGTCTTCTATTACACGGAATGACTACTACACCAGTGACGATTACTCGCATAGCAGCAACATCAGAAAATGCTGAAGACAAAATATTAGAAAGTCTTCGGCGCGATGGTGTGGCAATTGTTACTGGAATGTTTTCGAAAGATCATACTGATCAAGTAATAAAAGATCTTGCACCTCATTTTAATTCCGATGTTATCGATGAATCAGGTTTCTTTCCATCGACTACACAACGAGCAACAGGTTTATTTGCGATTTCTCGTGCATGTATAGATATAGCTATGCATCCTTTATTCCTTTCTGTGGCTAATCGTTTACTAACATCTACATACACTTTATATTATGGTCCAGAAAAACATATTGCTACTTCTAAACCAATTATTTCATCGACTGTTGGCTTTCGTGTCAATCCCGGTGGGAAACAACAAGCACTTCATCGCGATTGTACTGATTTACATAGTCGACCATGCGATTGGCCAGTGATGATTGGTTGTGTAACTGCTCTAACACGTACACATAAGAATAATGGAGCAACGATTGTTATTCCTGGTTCACATTTGTGGGAGGACGAAGATCGTATACCATTGGTAGAAGAAGCAGTACCTGCTGAATTAGAACCTGGTGATGCAACGATCTTTGTAGGAAATCTTTATCATGCAGGAGGAACCAATATTACTCAAGATGAGTGGCGTGAAACGGTGGGTATATTTATGGCGAAAGGATTCTATCGACAAGCAGAAAATCAGTATCTCATGGTACCACCTGAACGATGCAAGGAGCTTCAGTTAACTCCTGCAGAATTACGTGTACTTGGCTATGGAATTTCGGGACCGGCTTGTGGTTTTGTCAAATATAAAGATCCAATGGAATCAATTTTCGGAATTATTGATGAAGAAACTGTTAGACTGTAGTCGATTTTCGACACAAAAAGAGAATTTTTTTTTTAATTATTACATGATTTATTTTATATTTAAAATACACAGCATTAACCTGTTCATTCTCCTAATAAATTAAAATAACGCATTCCCCAATAACTTATTAAAAAGGGTGTTGGATCTTCTTCTTTAAATCCAGTGCCATAATCTAAAGAATAGGCATTACTATTCCATTTGCCTACGTTTCGTTCGTCAGGAGGTAACAAATGCAATGCATAAGGTTTTCCATTACATTCGGCTGGTTTGTTTCGTTGAACATCCAACCGAACAGTATTAAACTGTGGCCAATTAATCAGTTCTAGTGGCCAACGTTGCATATGCCATATACCATCTGTTGATAAAGAACTACAATTGAAACTAACAGAAGATGGATAATTTTTATTGAATAGATGTTGAGTTTGATTAACCTGGCCACTGGCATAACAATAGATAAAATTATAGAACGGAGATTTCTCTGTTTGCGTATATCTATGGAATAGATCCAATCCAATTTTCATATATTCTAATAACTTATCGGTAATTAATTTTGCGCGTGCCTTTTGAGCTGGAGATAAGTGATCTGTCAAAGTAATTGAATTAATAGCATATACTAGATTGAAGTAAGATAAATAAGCGAGTTGATCATCCGAGAAATTATTTTCGCAAACAGCAATCATTTTCGCATTAATAAGATTGATATCGTATTGATAAGTATCAATAAGGAGTTTTGCACCATCGAGAAAACGTTCATCACCACTGTATGCATACGTTTGAAGTAAGTATGCCAATATTTCTAAACTATTGATGCCTCGATCATCTTGAACATTACTATCATTGTTTATACGTATTGGATTCCAGAAACCCCATGTAGTAGGAGTATGCTTTTCTCCTACTAAATACCAATCATGCGTGAGAATATTTGTGGTAATATTCAGGACCAGTATGTAAGCTCTTTGACGTTCATCATCATTACCAGCCAGCAAATCATGCACTAATGGATAGACAAATTCATGTCCAACAATCTCGTCGGATGAGGTATCACCTTTAAACTGAAGTGTTGAATTAGTAGGAGATAAATACCAATTATGACTAGGTGGGAAATCACTGCGTTTTGCAAATGAACGACTAGGATAACCAGGAATACCTATGAAAGATACCAAACAAAAAAACATTTAGAATTCGTAAATTATTAATCTAAAATTCATACACTACCTGATACTTGATTAAGCAGTTCCAATGCTTCGAAATGTGTCCAAGCCGATACTTTGACTGTTGGATCTTTAGTGACGGCATACCGAAAGATTTGACTACTTAAATACATTGTCGTCCAAAGACCATCGTTGTCACTTGATCCTTTGATGCACGAACGATTATCACCCCATAATGACATAGGACAGTCAGAAACAAGATTATATTTGTTATGTCTACCTGGTTGTTCTAGAAAAGCTTGAAAATGTCGTACCTTTTGTGCCAATGTCCATATCTCGAAACGAAGAACACTCAGACCTTTACTAGTGACTGCAACAGCAGCACTTCCCGCAACACTGAGTGCAGTACTAGAACGACTCAGCACAGCTAATGAAGATACATCGACCAATGCATTACGATTAGGCATATAACGGGCACTATTGAACACACGCCAAGAGTTCATATCAGTATCGTTGGAATTAAAACGCATGACTCCATAAATACTGCCTAACCAAACTCGACTATCAGATACTGTCGAATGACTAACACCCAAAACAGTTATGTTAGCCAATGGAAGATGGCCAATATATGAGCCAGGATTAGATATTTGACCTGCTAGTCTAGAAAAGTACCAATGAAGCCGACCTGTCGACATGACAACTGGCAAAAGAAAAGTAATTCCAGTATCTTGTCCTACCCATAATTGATCTTGAACATCATTATATACTAATGATGTAATTGGTGCATCAATAAGACCGTTAATATGCTCAAATCGCCATCCTTCATTATCAGTACCATAGGAATGAATCCATAGTTTAGTATCCGTACCAAAAAACACTGTCTGTCGTTTCGAACTCCATGCTAACGATGAAACACCTGTATTTATCTGGTTGACAAAAGGAACGATTGTAAATGTAGAAAGATCCAATCCATGTAGTCCAGTATCACTAGCAATAAATAGCCATCCTGCTACTCCTAGATCTTCAACAAATATACCACCTGCAATTTTTGATATATTTGCTAAGACAGAAGGAAAGTAGATGATTTGTATCATATTACAAGAAGTTGCATCCGATCGATTACATAAGAGTAGTTGTATGCGATCTAGTGAAATAAGAGCAGCTGTATATGTTCGAATTGTATTTGTATTATGTGAAACGACCAAACGACTAGTATTACTTTTGACATCGATTCCAGTTAAAGTTACTAAAGTACCATTAGTAGATAAAGACATCCAAAACATATGTAGTGTAGTATTCATAAATTCAGTTCTTTGTGTCTTAGTAGTAGTCTGACCAAGTAACCAAACTCCTTCAGCAGCTTGAGAATGATATTGTGGTAATGAGACAGCTTGCCATACAGAGTGAATATCACTCAGTGTGACCCAAGCAATCGATTCATTCGCAAACGGAGCAAATAGATATCGTTCAGCAATAACTTGTTCGTATTCAGTATCCGGAATAGTTGACGGTAGTACTGTATGTATGTCAGTCAGAGATTTATGTTTTGCTAACAATGGATTACTGACCATTAGTATGCCAATAAGACACCAAACGAATGTCGACCACATAATATTATGTTACAAAAAGAAATATATTTGAAAAAAAAGCGACTCTTTATTCAAATGCAGCTCACATTGATAAAAGATAAAGATAACGTGAAGATACATGATACTAGTTAAACATACATAAGAGAATGAAAAAACTAGGGCATGAGTGTGGAAGGCACACATTAAATCAATGGCAATAACAACTTGGAAGACTTCTTTTTTTAGAAGGGTGTGGGTGTTACGTAAACGAAGAGAAACACCCCACATCT